ACTGTGGGTGTTTTCACACCTGTGCAGGTGACCCTAAGAGCAGTCAGCTGTGTGCGTTTCAGTCTCACAGAAGAAGAAGAAGAAGTGATCCTCCGCTTCCTGCCGGGCACATGCTTGCGACCTTGGATGCTGCGTCACACGACCGCTCAGATCGCTGTGATTGGACGCTCGGCTCTCTTTACACCAACGCTCTGTGTGCTTGGAGTTGCCTCAGCACCAATCATATCACAGGATTTTACCTCAGTGACATCACTGAGCGCGTCACTGCTCACGTCTCTGATTATAGATTATAGATCACCCTCCATCTTTGAACTCTTCCTGTGATTGGCTTGTGTTCTCGCCGCCATCCTCACTGCCAGTCACTGTTGCCACGGAAACACACCATCAGTTTTATGTAACAGTACCAAGGAGTGGTTACCACGGCAATGTTTTGTGTTCCTTCATTTCCTGCACTGATCACTGTGTGCGTGCGTGTGTGTGCGTCCACAGACCTGCGGCGCATCACGGCAGGCTTCCTGGGCATGGCGGCGGCCGTCCTGCTGTGCGGGAGCATTGTGGCGTCGGTGGGCTTCTTCTGGGAGGAGAGCCTGACGCAGCACGTCTCTGGGCTGCTCTTCCTCATGGCAGGTAACTCACCTGCTCTGTGCAGCAGCCCAGTGTCTCCCCCTGCTGGTCGCAGCTGAGGTTCACAGCGAGTGCTGTCTTCATCCGACCATAGAAAGCGCCTCCAGGCAGCTGTGGTGATTTGGCGCTTTATAAATAGAATTGCGCCGACAAAGAAAATCACCAGAGAGATTTGAGTGGGCTCGGCTATCAGAACATCAACGGGAAATCATTTAGAAAGATTCAAGTAAAAGGCGACGTGTTTGTTTCCATGGTAATGTACAGCGCCACACTGTAACGTTTCAGTGTGGTGTCCATACTCGTGCCATGTAAAGACTGTTAAACCTGATTCACCTGCCTGCCCTCAGTAATGACTCACCTTTGCTTAGTGATGTTTACAAAGACTGTAAATAAACAAAAGAAGGCTAGAGGTGGACGGTTTTGTTGAGGTGAGTTTTGGTTATTGATGGACGCCAGTGATGGAGTAAAGCTCAGGGTGCAGCACGTCAGACTCGGGCATCTATAAGTAAGAACGAGGATCATCAGGAATCCGTGGAGATGAGGGTGGGGGCGACGTGGAGCCTCTCCAAACCCAAACAGCACCTGCTGCAGTAATCCAGCCATGTGCTGAGCTGTGTTGGCCAAGTTACTTTGAAAAATAATTAATTATAGTTACTAGTTACTTCTTTAAAAAAGTAACTGAGTTACAAGATTCTAAAAGTAATTAATTACTTGAAAAGTAACTATTGTGTTACTTTAAAAAATATTAAACCCTCTGGGGTCCCGGGTGTAATCGGCCATTTTAACCACTTTTGACGTCTAAAATCATCAAATTCAAGTAGAAAAGTTTGTTACTGTAACAACCACAAACATTTTCTTGAATCATAACTTTAAATGATAAATGGTCAATTTTAAAATCATATGGACAAGTTTTGCAAACAAAGTTATTTGCAGCCATTTACTTTTTACCCTTTTTTTTAATAACCATTTCAAACTGTTTACAATCAGCTGTTCTTCAATAAGACGCCACAAATAATTTTTGCCAAATATTTCTGTCCACTATAAAGGAAACATCACAGCTGATACCTGCAGGTCTGACAGCAGCAGGTGTGTCACTCCTGTTTCTACCTGGAGACAGCAGTCGCCTCATTGTTCTGACACACAACACAAAACTATCCACAACACTACACACTAACTACACAACACTACACATTAACTACACAAGACAACACACTAACTACACAACACTACACACTAACTACACAAGACAACACACTAACTACACACTGCAAACACGCTAAACGTCACAAATCTCACATGTCAAAACTCGCTCTCTCTCTTTTTCTGTGGTGACAGTGATGCACAGTCTTGTTGGTATATGTATGATCTCTATACATTTACATCAAATAAAAACTTTGGTTGTAAGATTCATTTATTAAAAACGAGACATTTTAAATGAGAATAAGTTACCAGCTGTCAGCTGCTTAGAAAAGGATCCTGGTGTTATTTGTCTCTCAGAAACAGTTCATAACTTCAACTCATCCATGTC